TCCTCTGTGGAGCTGAAAAAGGAGGCCAGGAAGGGGGCAGAAGTGTGTACGACTCAGAGGGCTGGGGCAGCAGCAGTGGCCTCTGGGCAGAAGTGTGGGCAGAACCAGGTGAGCAAAGGCAACCAGAAAGGCAGGGAAAGGAGGGTGGGGAGAAAGCAGAAGCAAGCGCCAGCTAAGAGCCAGGCCAGGCTGAGGAGAGATTGTCCTAAGGGCTCTGCTGACCTTCTGTGGGAAACTGGTCTTGCTTCTGATACCAGCGGCTCTGGGGTTTGGGATGACTGATCTGGCTTTGCCCGGAGAGGACGGATGCAGCAGGGTTCCTGCTGATGGGCAGGGCAGGGACATGGCCGCAGGAGGCCCTTCTCACCCCTGGATGCAGACCTCTGCCTCCGAAGCAGGATGTCTCAGGGAGAAGGGAGGGAGGAACCAACTGGATCTGCTGGGAACACGCCCTGGTGGACTTAGGTAAAATAGCACCAAAGCTGTGGGTGCTGCCACCGCCGCCTCCTCTCTTCCGTTTTTTGGGCAGTATGGGGGACGGAACCAAGGGTCTTGGCCCTGAGCTGTCTCTTTGGCCCGCCTGCCCTTCCTCCCTCTCCTTTTCTTCCCTCCTTCTTCCTCTCTCTCCTTCCTTCCCTCCTTCCTTTCCTTCCTTCATCCCTTTCTCCCTCCCTCCTTCCCCTTCTCCCTTCTCCCATTTTCCTCTCCCCCTTTCTTCTTTGGTTCTTCCTTGACAGGCTCTCCCTAACTCACACAGTTGCCCAGGCTAGGGTTGAACTTGTGACTGTCTCAGCCTCCTAGAGTGCCGGGATTACAGGGCTGCACCACCATGCCACTTGTGGGTGCCAGCGGCAGGTCCCTGGCCCCAGTGTGGCCGTGTGTGCAGGACTCAGGGGTCAGACCTGGCCTCCCCGGGCTTCAGGTCCCCATTTGGAATGAGAATGTTGGGCCAGCTTATCGTACACCCACCAGCTCGGGTTCCAACAGCCCTGCTTGGTGCACAAGGCCCTTCTGTCTTTTTCAACCGGGCCACCCCGCCCGCACCCTCTGAGATGCACCCTGAATGTCCCCTCCGCTCAGCCCATGAACCCTGCGCTCAGGCTCCACTCACACTGCTTGTGTGTGTTCCAGACTGGACTCGGGGACGCCTGCTGCTCCCCTCGCGTCTCTGCCGACCCTCGAGATGAGCCTGGGTGACTCACTGTGTTTCTTTTCAAAGACGGGGCCAGCCGGAGAAGGGGATGATTACATACGACCACTTGTAGGTCAAACTCTGGCCGAATTATTCAGTAAATACACATGGAGGCCAACGTGCTTCTTGCCCCGTGTGCATAGGCGGCAGCTTGGCTCTCCACCTTTCATTCCACACCTGGTGATGTGGGGAGGGGCCTCTCGCCTCTCGTGCGGGGCCTCTTGAGCAGGTCCACTGTTTGCAGCGACACCGTGCATCATCCCCACGCTTTCCACCTCGGAGAGGAGTGACGGCCATGCACAGGCTCAGCTCCCTCACCATCAGGATACTCTACGAGCAGGCGTCATCATTCCCATGTCACAGAAGCCCAATGGGACCCTCGCCTGCCTCACTGCCTCCTCAGCCTGGGCTCCCTGCAGCTCCCTCCTTGTCTCAGGAGCAGCTCGGGCAGAGACCGAACTCCCGGTGCGCAGACAGCTCTCAGCCTTGCACTTGGTTCTCACTCCCTGCGGGGGCCGGGCTGGGCTCACACCTCCAGGGGTGTGAGCAACTTTTGCTGGAAGGGCAGAAAAGACTTGCAGAAGTATAAAAGTGCCCCCTGGAAAGCGGAGCCTAATTTAAGTTCTTAAAACACCAAGACTCAAAGAAACAAGAACAGCAACAGAATAACTAGACAAAATCTGATCTGCTAGCTTGCAACGGAATGTTGAGATCTATGCCTATTTAGTAACAAGGAAAAAAAAAGATTAGTAAACCTGTAGCTTGTGTGATTTTTTTTTCCCCCATAAATGGAAATGATTTCCTCTAACTTTGCAAGCTTGGGAACTCGCCTCTGACACACCAAAGCACATCTGCAGACCTGCTCCGGCTGAGGAGGCCACAGGGACCACCTAAAACCAAACCTCCAGCAGGCTTTTCTCTCCCATAATTTCATGGATTGTTTGGAAAACTGCAGTGAGAGAGTGGTGAGGGGCAAGCTCATCTTCTTGAGTAGTGTGGGAGGTAACACATGAACTGAAAACCATGTCAGAAAAAACAATTTGTAAAGGAACAGCTAGCACGGAAACGGGAATGCGATGTTGCAAGACAACTTTTCCAGCACAAACTATACCAAGTCAAGCAGTGAACCCACCAGACATCTTGGAATTCTCTTGGTAGTATAGGGTGCTGAGGAAAAGCACACCCAATTTTGCCACAAGAGGAGGAAATACGCCCCTCCCACATCGCTCTGTGCCCTTGACTTTCACTGAAAGACACCTTGCTTCGGTCTGAGGAGTCCCGGATCAAAGATACAGATGAGCTGAAGCCATGCTTTTGGGTTCAGGCTGATTTTCACACATGCTAATGATCCCTAAATGATATTGTATTTCATGCGGTATTCATAAGGAATCCCATTGCCATAGCAACTGGAATGTGATAGCAGAAGTTTTCTTATAAATGGGACTTAGCATGCTGCCTGTCTCCTCACGCAGACTGGCAAGTGTCATGTGTCCCTGACCAGGCGCCGGCAGAAGCCTCCGCTCAGGGGCTGGCCAGAGGGGCCGGGCCCAGCATCACCCACCACTCCTCTCCCCTTCCTCTTCACACTCCAGCCCCACGGGATGCTCCTCAAATTGGCTTCAGGGGGTGATAACGTCCTAGGGAATGGAATCGTAAGTTCTCTTTGTGAAATCTAGTAGGAACAGAGAACGGAAGATGGACAACTAAAAATTTTTGCTTTGCATGGAAAATAGGTGTTTTAAGTTTCCTGTTTTAAAACTCCTTGGAAATTTGGGAGAAATGACAAATTGTTATCTATGGAGCTCAAGCTGGCATCAAATATGCTGCTGCCATCAGGAGAAAGGCATGGCTGGAAGTTCCCCTTACTTCCTTTCCCTAAGACCCCCTGTCACCTAGCTCCTGGCAGAGCCTCTGTCACTTGCCTGGCCCTGCTCCCTGTTGGAGCTGTGGTTCTGGTGAGGAAGGGAAGCACTCGCCCAAAGCTCCCCTTACCCTGGCCTTCCTTCGGCATAACCCCTGGGCACGTTCTGGAGCAGCGCCAGAGGAGGAGGCCCCTGGCCTTCCTGCCGGCCAGGACTGCAGCTGACCCTGACCCTGAGGCCCTGGAGGCCTGGGCCAAAGGTCCAGGAGGCTGTCCTCCGGGTCAGCATTAGGCCTGGCACTCAGGACCTGCAGCACGCACTGAAACGTCCCCCCGAGTGTCACAGCTCCCTCTGCTCTAGCCCGCGGTCACGCTGGAGGAGAACAGCAATGTGGCACGTAGGATTAATGCCAAACACATGCAATGCGCCTGGTGCTCTGCTGCCTGGTCTCAGCTTTTCCTTCACTGCTCCCCACCGCCGGAGCTGGCGGGGCGACCTCTAGTCCATTTTACAGTGGAGGAAGAGGCTTCTCCCCACAAAGCTGGGGAGAAGAGGAGCCCTCATGCCACCCTGGTGTTTTGGGGAGCATGTAGGAATCGAGAAGGATTTTGAGGGGAGCAGTGCCACAGGGCTGAGTACGAGGCAATTCACAGACTCTGCCTCAAAAGGATTCAGCGGATGAATTCAATCAGCATGAAGCAGAGCAGAGCACCGAGCTGCTCGAGCCGCCCCACCCCAGCTCACCCCCATTGTCCCCCGGGCAGCAGGTTTTGTGGTTGCTCTTTTCCTCGTGTGAAATGAGAAATGCTGTTTGAATAACCGATGGTGAGGGAGGCTGTACACACTCTGATGCAGAAATAAAAACCTTCAGAAAGATGCAATTTGGGAGATATTGGAAACCAGAGAACGGAACATCAGTCTATAAAATGCAACACAGCCAATAAAGCTGGAGCAACTGGTCAAGTGTTTTAGTATGCACGGTTGCCAAGGAGTCAGCAGGCACGGGCTGGGCAGCGCTTCCAGACCGGGGACATTCGTCTTCGGCCCGTTCTGGCCTCATTTCCATAAGACGTCTCATGATGCTGAAGCACCTCAGCATTAGAGTCATCAGCACAGCCATGAAAGTGTCCGAGACGATTCCCATCACAGGCTAAATGCACTTTCCAGGCCCACGCCACCACGGCCGGCGGGTGAGGGCGGGAAAGGGCTTGAGATGTGGGTGCAGGGGCACCGAGCAGAGGCGCGGGAGACATCACCGAGCTCCCTGCCCTGGCTGCGGCTTCCCTTGCGTCACAGGCACGTGCAGGGCAGTCACCCAGGGTGTGGACTGTGACAGTGAGGCTGAGCTCAGCCCCTTCCTTTCGGGGGCCCAGCCCCTGACCGCTGGGGACTGCACAGAAGCTCCGCTGGTCACGCTGCGGGCACCTGGCCAAGCTCACTCTCCCAAACCCCTTTCCCTCTGTTCTGCTCCCCAGAGCCGGTCTCTGGCCCTGTGCGGCCCCAGGGGGCTCCTCTACCCACGACACTCCCCACCTGTCTGTGGTCCTGCTCCCACCCGCTCTTACTGCTATCAGCCCAGGCACACACTCTACCTGGGCCTCGCCAACCCAGGAATGCACCTTCTGACTCTCACATCCGCGAGTGCCCCGTGAGTATCCACCGAGCACCTGGCTAGGTCCCGAGTAGAGCAGCACGGGCCACAGAGTCACAGCCGCGTGGCTCTCGTCACCCACTGGGAACCGGCGCCGCCCTCTTCTGACACAACCCCAGCACAAAGCGGGAGTCCTTTGGCCCCCTCTCCATGGATGTGGTCTGCCGTACAGGTCCTTCCCTCTACCTCCTCCATGCGCATAACCGGCAGACTCAGCACCCAGGTCGCTGGCTGAAAGGGCACTAGAAGGTCCATTACAAAACCCAAAAGCATAAGGCAAGAGCCGTCTCCCTACCTTTGAGGAAACAGTCTTTGCTGTGCCTGACGGCAACTCTCTTTCCCAGCAGGCAGGCGGCCCGGTGGAGCTCACAGTGATTCTCATAGAGCCGCCCGTCAGAGCCACACACGGGCAGGTAGCGGGGCCTGCACGCTTCCAAGCACCGGCAGAAGGGCTCCCCGGTCTCTCTGCTGAGCACACACTGGCTCCCTCGGCCACACAGCTTCTTCCTGCAGGAGGCCAGTGGCCCATGGCCAGGAAATCCTGCAGAACACAAACACAGAGGGTCAGACACAGGCTGGCAGGCTGGGCCAGGTTTATCTGAGCCAGGGCCATAGAGCTCAGTGGAGTCCTTGTCCCCCGCCAAGAGGTGGCCACAGGTGGTGAGAAGGGCATCTTGCTGTGCAGAGCTCAGGTGTCGTGGGTCACCTGCTCCAAACATCCCAGGTGTGACACCTGCCCGTCCTGGAACCCAGGAGCTATGGGAGCCCAGCGGAGGTGGGCAGGGCCTCAGGCTCAGAGGGTCCTGAGGGCTGAGGTGAGGGGCTTTTCTTCAGACAGAGCGGCCAGGCTCCACAACCCACTCCAGGCAGCAGCAGCACATCTCAGGGAGGAAACTGAATGGGAATAGAGGCTTCCAACAAAGGCAGGGAAGGGAACCCAAACTGTGCTTCTAGGAGATTGGAAACCAAGCAAAGGAATCTAGCTTTGATACCGTGGGCACCGGGAGCCACTGCAGGGTCTAGAGGGAAGTATGGCATGCGAAGGAAGTGGTACTCTGTGTTGAGGACAGGGCAGGAGGCAGCCCAGGTGGGAAGCTGAGCTTTTCCTCGGGAAGAACAGTTTTCCAGAACAACTGCCATCAGCTGAGGCACAACAGGCCCCCACCCCACACCTAGTCTTTTCTAGCACAATGCTGTGGCTGTGGGCAAGAAGTCTGAGGGCCAGCAAATGGCAGCTGCCACATTGCTTGGGCTTCTCCTGCACCTAAAACGTAGCCACAAGGATTTTGGGAAGAGAGTGCCCAGTGCTCACCCTGCCGCCGGAGGGCAGGTGGCTGGGCGCTTCTTTCTGCGAGGGCCACTGCTAAGCGGAAGGCCGAACAGGCATCCAAACCAGCATCACGATATCCACAGGAGTCTAGAGGGAGCAGACTGTTGCCGGGCTCCAGGAATGGCAACACATGTGTAGTTCAGAATTGCCGAGAGATATCGAAGTATAAATAATTAAAACACGAATGCAGGTTTTATGGCCACAGAAGTCTTTGCTTTACATTCTAATTAAATCCTCGAAATACTCAAGACAGAATGGCCCCACCGCATGGGCCGAAAGTGTCTAAGGAAAAAAAAAGAATTGTCTCTTTCTTGTTTTTGGTTAGGTCTGCTTTTTCATCACTATAGATTTGAAAGGAAAAAAATTAGTTATTGGCAGATTAACTGTTTGACTCAATAACTCATTTAAATTCCCCCAGCCCTAGCAAACTAAGAAATATCGACTTTCTCTTGAACTATAATAAACTAGAAGGTCGGCATACATCAGTGCAGTGTGAAAGTGCAGATCCCGAGCAGGACACGTGAGTCTCTGAAGCCACTTTGCTAATTGTTCGCATGTCACCGTGAAGGCTCCCTGGCAATCCTTGGCCCCTCTGCCACTGTCCTGTGGAGGCTGACAGGTGGCAGGCAGGAAGGGAAGGGAGCCGAGAGCAGGTTCCTGCGGGGCAGGCTCTGGGCTCCTGGCCACTTTGCTAAGGTGTGTTTGATTAGTGGGGTTCCCTGGGTTGTCGGGAAATGGGTTACCCAGCAAGTGCTGGCGGCTGCTGACAGAAACTAACAGAAACTAATGCTCTCAAAATATCAGCCTTTGTTTCCTTCCCAAGGCAGGGTGAGGACACAAAACACTGCCCCCGGATCACTGTTACGACAAACTTCTTGGGCAGACAGGACGGGAACAGGCTAACGCAGAGCCCTGTCTCCCAGCCTCCGGCCCCTCTGAGCCTGGTGGGGATGGCTCTGGCCGTGCTGATCCCCGCATTGCTCTGACTCATCCTGGGGTCCTTCCCTGTATGACGCACTCGCCACCAGCACAAGCCCAAGTGTCCCCTCCGAGTCCCTGCCCTAGAGTGTGGGCCTCACACTCTGGCCCCAGGAGGCCCCACAGGTGCAGGGTCTCTGCCTTCAGTGGCCCCAGGACACTTAAGTTTCAAGACACACGAGAGGTTTCAGAGCTGATCTCCCGATGGGGAGCAGACTGGGGGCCATACGCACTGACCTTCTGTGGTTTCTTCTCCTTCTGTGTCCTCCACAGGGGCGGGAGGGAAATGTAGGACGGAGGCCTGAAGGTGTGTCTGGATGGCAAAGGCACCCAGAGTGCTGGATGGCAGGCCAGGAGGGGGCTCTGGGAGACCACTGAACCTAGCCAGGCAGTCGGGGGCTTTGCCACGTGGGAGCTCCTCCTCCTCCGCACCACCCGTGTGCACAGACGGCAGTGATCACCTGGAGGACCAGCTGCCCACACTGAATGGCCGGCAGCTGGACGCCCATGGCCTCTCCACCGGCTGTGCCAAGGGTTGGTGTTAAGAAAACACCTGTGCCCCCTTGTGGCCAGGGAATTCGTTAAGAACACTCAGGTTCTCTCTGTCCCGGAATCAGCTGTCACGGGTAAATATTTGATTCCTAATTATTTGCAATTAAGACAAAAGCAGCTTTCAAGCCCTGCGTGCGCTCTTTATAAAGGCTATGGACAGCAGGCCTGAAGGAACGCTGACAGCACCTCGTGCGGGGCCAGGCCTAGGACCTGATCACCCACCACAGACACTGACCAAGGGACAGTTTCCTCTTGAAACGAGCCCCTTGCCACCACTTCTACTTCGTCATTAAGATGGAATGAATTCCCCATTCCTACGGGGATGAAGATAAAACAGTAATGGAGAAAGTAACCAAGCGAGACCACTGGCGACTGCCTACAGTATTTATGAGGACAACCGTGATGCACGAAAAAGATACAACATGCTTAATTTATAATCATAAAGGAGGTAATTTACCCAGGTTAATAACTGATCATCTCGCCAAATAAGCTGCTTTTCTACACTAATTAAATTTACTGAACACGGGTAGACAGGGGAATTGTTACATTAGAGTGGCGGGAGCGACAGGTCCATTTGCACCAGTTGGTACTATTGCCTCACTGTGTGACAATTCATGAGAGTGTCACAGACCAGGGACTGCCACAGCACAGGTCCAGGGGGTGTGGTCCAGCACGTGTGGAAGGCAAGCCTGTTGCCCCAGGTGCAGGCATTAAAAGGGGTGAATCCTGAGACACGTCGCAGAGGGGAAAGCTGCCTTTATTTACTTGGCGCAGGACACTGACTCAGTCTCTCTAACTGGTTTCTTGACCCCAAGAAATCTTGTGAGCGCTCCCTTCTCAGAGACTGTCCCCTCAGGGCCACTCGAGGGAAGCTATGGTCAGAGTGTTCCCTCCAAGACTCGGTGAAAATCTGATGGCACTGTATTACAGGATGGTCAGGCCTCGAGCAGCTCAATGCTGTTACTCCAGGAGTGGGATGGTTTCCATGGGACCAGGCTCCCGATGGACAGGATGAGTCTGGTCTCACTTCTCCATGGTTTCCTGTGTGTTTCACATCATGACACAGAACACAGGTCCCTGCCAATGCCAGGGCCATGCCCCTGGACTCCCAGCCTCCAGAACCATGAGTCAAATAGACTCCTATTGCTTATATTTTACCAGTCTGTGGTGTCCTTTATAGCACTAGAAAATGGATTAAAGAGCCAGGGAAACCCACTTGGCTTTTTCCACTTTGGGATGCTAGCTGCCTGCAGGCCTGTTTCACCTGTGTGGTTTTCTGTGTCTAGAACGTATCTTCACTTGCCCTGAGCAGAGCTGAGGTGTCCTGCATTGCCCACACAAGGGCCCGGGGTGAATCCCCACGAGCTCACCTCAGCCCTGGCTGAGGAGGTCACTGCAGCCAAGAAGGGGAGGATGTGGCTGTGGAGGACCAGAGACAGTGAGCCCAGTCCAGAGAACCTTGAGAATCTTATCTGCCCCCCGCCACCAGCCCATCCTGGCACAGCAACTGCGTCCAGCTTCTGCAGACAGAGACACGTGTATGTGACAGGTGGCCACCAGGGGCACACACAGCCCCTGGGGCTGGGGGCTTGCACGTGGAGGAGCCATGTGTGGACAGAGAGGTAGAGAGGTCAGGGTCTGGGATGACGGCCCTGTACACTTCCCTATCCCAACACGTTCACACTCAGACTTGGCCAAGGCATCTGGAGGGTGCATTCAATTCCGACTCCCTCAAGGCACAGTGCTTTGTGTATGGCCGCAGAGCTTGGGTGGTGGTGAGAGCCACTCCAAGGCTCTGCTCTCCAGTCCAGTGGCATTTCTGACTACAGGTGGGCTGGGAGGTAATGACAGGGCACTCGGGAGGGGCTGCTTGCCAGCTCCGCAGCACCTGCTCATGCAGCAGGTACCTGCTGAGCATCTGCTACGGACCTGCTAGGAGCCATGGACCCAAGACGGACCTGATCCTGTCCCCTGTACTAGGATCCTGGGGGGGACACACAACAGGATCAGCACACAGGCCAGACAAAGGTGGAGGGAAGCATACGCCAGGAAGGAAATAGAGAGGGAGCTGCAGTGGGAGAACGTTACTCCGGTGGTCAGGAAAGCCTCCTGGCCTGGAGGAGGGTGGAGATCTGACCTGAGAGTGAAGTGGAGGGGAGAGCACATCAGCTCGGGCGGCCTAGAACCTTGTGCGCAGGGTGAAGAGACTGGCACCAGCCGAGGCCTGCTCCTGAGGTAAGCCTTGCCAGGCCCTCGATGTAAGCACTGCGGTGTTTCCTAGCAGTGCACCTGGGAAGCGGCCGCAGTCCTGTCTCCCAGACTTTCAGCCCTGGGCTCTACTCCTGGCTCAAAGACCCATCCTCTAACAGCCTCACAGCCCATAGAGCTCCCTGCACCCCAAGGGCTGCTGGCAGGGGCACAGCAGTCCTCCCGGGGTGCTGTCCACCATCCTGATGACCCAGGTGACCCATCCCACCACCCCGCAAAGTCTGATCACACTGTGTGGCTGGGAAGGGAATCTGATTCCTCCCAAGGACATGCGTGTGTGAAGGCCCAGCCAGGGAGGGCAGTGCCTGAAGTAACTGCTATTTCCTGAGGCCCGCGAATGGCCAGGCACCACACTAAGTCCTTAGAACCCATGAGCTGGTCTGACTGCAGTGGACTCACAGGTCTGAGTGTGT